CTTTCCCACAAAGCACACATGTGATACCAGCAGAGCTGGATCAGGATGGCTTCTAATGTCAGTTGCCATGCAGCACCAAGAACCACTGTCTCCTTCCAATGTAGGGCTCCACCACTGGGTTGGCTTATTATAGCTCAAGTATCCCTCCGAGGGAAGCTACAGTGAGTTGACTCTCAATATCCCCATTATTGTTTCATTTAAGTTGGCTTTCGCTAGTCTCCGTGCTCCCGAGCAAATTGGAGCATGGGAAACATGGAATAAGTGATAGAGGAAATCATTAGTCTCCAGACACCAGCCTATGTGGGTACCAGAAACTCAGACTGCAAATTTTAGTGCCATGGCAGCAGAGTATGGAGAAGGAAGGTACAAGGATGATACATTGCCCATGGCATTCCATAGTTCCTCTTCCTGCCACTGTGTCAAGCTGCATCATCTGCTAAGTCCGCCAACTGTGCTGTTTATAACCAAACCTCAGGATTTGTGACTTTACCCTGGTGACTTCTCAGCCTTTAGGTAAATCAAGATATACAAATGGGTATATTGGGTGTGGGTGTTGGTGCCCCAGCTGCTACTTAGTCAATACCTTTAGAGTCAAAACAAATAATGCTTGGTTAAGTGAGGAATGGTGTGAGGCTAAGATGGCTATAAGGGTCTTTTGACAAGGACATCTAGACCACTTAAGTCTCCCTTTCTCCCTTTTTCCAAGATGCTGTTGTCATGGACACTGCCAGTGGCTTTGTTTTTTGTTTTGTTTTGTTTTGTTTTTTGGGGGGAGTTGTCATATTTGACCAGCCCACATTAACAGGGCTCACTTTTCCTTTAGTGGTGTTGATTAAATCAGCCAAGGTGTCAGAATTTTTAAAAGGATTTAATTTTTTTTTTAACTTCAAGACTTCTAGAACTTCTAGATTAATAATCCAGATAAAAATATTTCATAGTATAAAAATTGATGAGGCTTGCAGAAATCACTCAGGAAGAGGACTTAATGCTCCTTGACACTCCTTGTATGTCTCTTGGATGAATCGTGAATCTACCAATGGAATTCAATTGATTTACTCTAAATGAAGTTATCATTCTGCCTTTCTCTGGCTCATAAGTGTATTCATATATCACAATGTAAATTAAAGGGTTGCAAGCCCAGCCCTGTAGTACAGTGGTTAAGTGTAGTGCATATGGAACCAGATCCCATGTGCCCAACTAAGGTTCAAGTCCTGATCCCACTGGTTTAAAAAACACAGCAGTTGTGTGTGTGTGTGCATGTGTGTGTGTGTGAATTCTCCAAATTTCAATGGGATGGAAGAAATAGAGGAAAAAGGATTGCAACATGACCACAGCCCATTGGGGAATGTTCTGTCTCTGGCAAGTACACACACCTCTGGCAAAAAAAGAAGAGGAAAAAAGGAAGGAAGGAAACAAAAGGTTGCAACTTCATAACATTGTTACTTGTCCATGAAAACCATGAGCAAGATTCCTACAGTTCTGGTCTTGTGAACATGTCTTCTGCTCCATGGTCTGTGTTGATTCTTGTGGCCTTTTAAGTGATTCTTCCTGTGACAGTCTCCTGGAGTGACCAACTTTGGAGACATGCTCTATTCCCAGTGCCTTGTTGGGCTGTAGGAAGAGCTGGGCTTCTGGCAGCCATGGACCAAAATATCTATTGTTATAGCTTCTCTGGTAAAGGTTCTTCTTCCTTTGTACTCTGTCTAAATCCTGCTGGCTCAGCCTGGCTAGCTCTACAATAGAGAGACTGTAGATCACTGTAGTAACCATTTACCTGGCATTCCCCAAATGAGTGATTCAGACAGGAAATCAAAGTGTCTTCCTCTGACCTCCATAGCCTTGGCATAGATGGTCTGAGTAGGACATAATGACTTCCTCCTATCCCAACCCAACATTGTTTCCACCTCCATTTACATGGAGTGGTAACAAAAGGCTTTGGAGTAAAACCAGGGAAGATTCAAATTCCAATTTTGCCACTTAACCTATGACATTGAGAAAATTACTTTATTCCAAATGAATCTGAATGTCTTCATCGGGAAACACATAATGCTAAAGGAACATGAGCAGAGAAGCTGGCACATGGAACAGGCTCAGCAAATTCTCAATTCCTTTCCTTTGAGAAATTATAAAGGCTAATTTAGAGTTCCAGTGAAATTCCAACACCAAGTTACCACACAGGGCAATACAGGACCATGTAACTAATTTTTGTTTTTCCTGTGTGTTGTGGAAACAGAGGGCTGATTTGTCCAGTTCCAACCAAGGTAGCAATGTAGCAGAGAGAATGCCTACCCAACCATAGCACCTTCAGTAGAGACCAACCTTGATCCATCCCTATGTCTCTGTAGAGTACAGCTTTGTGCCTTGCATTGAAGAGTTCCTCTGTGAATATCTGTGGAGTGAATTAAGTTCAGAGTTACATTGGTTTTAAATATTCGACTCTGGTGTGTCAATGCTTCCACTTAAATATACTCTAAGACATGTGGGCACACAAAGACACAATCATGGTGGAGCAATAGTCCTCTGGGTGTTTTAAATGATATTTCTTAACATGAGAATGATGGCTTAGAATTAAAGTGGGTTTGCAAACACAGCTAAATTAATCCCCACCAAAATTTTTTGAGACATTGATGCTAGTACCCTAGGTCTACCAGTAATAAAGGCAACCTGGACAAGGTAAAGAGGTAGGACCAATGTTTCATGTTTATAGCAGTGAAATCAAGCCTTGTCCAGCTCAAGGAAACCCAGTGCATTCTCTCCTTCATATCATAGCTATTACCCATTCAGTATTTTTCTGAGATTCTGATAGAGTAGTGGTTCTCACCTGTGATGCTTATGCTCCCATGGGCATTTAGAAATACCCAGAGATATTTTTGGATGTCACTTTGGGGTAAAATGATTCTGGTTTCTAATAGATAGAGGCCAGGGATGTCTCTAAATACCCTATAATACACAGGACAGCCAACCATGACAAGAAAGTATCCAGCCACAATGTTAACAGTGCCAAGGCTGGGAAATCTGGCAATAGATCCAAATATGACTTTTTCAAAGATGAGCGAGAAATGTCACCCTACTGTGTGAGTTTCCTTGAGGAGAATTATATTCTAAGCTGCTGAGAAGACCAGATTGTCCCTCTTGGCAGAAGTGTCATTTATACCTATATCCCTGGGAAACTTTTAGCTTTTACATTTTGTTTTCTTTTCTGTTCATGAAATTTTGTGGGAACAATAATTAGGATGTGAATTATTTTTATATCTTCCCACAGCCCTGGATATATGATTCTGTACTCCATAAGGATCCAACAGTTATGTGTCTGAATAATCAAAATAATTCATTATTGTAATTATTAATCATAAAAGTAAGAAATTAATGATCATTTCAGGTCTCACAACTTTCTAAGATGTTTGTATTTATTATGTTATTTTAATCCCTTAACTGCTCTATGTATACTGTCCCCACTTTATAGATGTCGGAACTGAGGAATCAGGAGGCTAAATAGTTTGCCAATAGGTAGAATTAGTTAAGTGGTAGCATCAATCTTTGTAGTCAGGAAGCCTGGCTCTGGAATCTGTGAGTGTAACTATTTAGTTACACAACTTCACATGCTTAAGTGGTCTTCAAGGCTATGATCAGAGAAAGTGGAGTGGAGAATGGAGAGAGGAACAAGCCTCAGTGACCCCATTTATGGTCTGATTTTGGGTTTTCTGCAGAGCAAGAGTGAAGCAGACAAGGGTCAGTGAAATACATCACCTCTAGAAATAATCTGAGGTAAAGTCAGCAAGGTCAAGAACTTTGCTGGAAGAAGAAAGAACTTAGGAGATGATATGGCAACACAGAAACTCTTCCCCATATGTTCTCTCTTCTCCCCTCCTTAGTAGGGTGAAAAAGACAAAGGAGAAAACATCAACACCCTAGGCTGCATGCCCAGGTCATGCTTCATTTGATTCAGGTTGCTTATAGCCCTAGGAGATGAGTCTGTTGGTGCCTCGGGCCTGTGTGGTGAGTCTTCTATGATCCCCAGGTCATGCATCTTTCAGTTCAGGTTGCTGATAGCTCTGGAAGGTGAGTCTCCTGGTGCCTGGGGTCAGTCTTCCATGTGCTCGAGCTGTAGTGACTGGGATGTGTTCTTGTGAAACTCTATAACTGGTTTTCACACAGGTAGTGCTTGATTAATGATTTTTGCCTCTTGCTGTTAACACAGAATGCATTATCTGGTTTTGCAGGATTCATCAACTTGAAAGATACATTGATGCTGAAGAAAGAACAGACCAGAGATTTGGAAGGAATTAACTAGAAAGGCCTACAAGAGGTATTGCAGACACTTATTTGATTTATTCATTCATTTACTCATTCACGTATTCATTCATATATTCCATCACCAAATATGCATTGAGCCCTGTGTGCTTGGACCCATGTAATCCCTAAGAAAACATAGAAAGAAAAAGCATTGGCGGGAAACATGAACAGGCAGAGGAATAATTGTTGCATAAGAATGTGATTGCACTACTGGAGGCCATAAAGTGGAGAGATTTTAAGCATAGGCTATGGGGCTTCTAATTTCAGCTTTGCCACTCTGCCATGGTGACCTTGGGGAAATTAATCACTGTATGTGCTAATATCCTCATTTATAAAATAAGAATAATAACAGTATTTACCTCACAGAACTGTGATCATTTATAATATAAAGTGCTTAAATGGTGCCTGGCACATACTAGATTCTCAGTAAAGGTTAGTTACTATTGTTAATTGAATGAAGGTTAGTTATTACAGTGTATTGAGTACTATGAAAACACAGGTGAAGGAGAACCTAAGACTGTCTAGGGATTTAGAGAATCCTAAGAATGTAGCATGTGGGCTGGGGTTTGAAGAATACATGGCAGATAGCCTGGAAGACTGGTGAGGAGCAGGCATTCAGGCAGAGAAGGCTGTGAGAGCAAAGAGGCCTGAGAAAGCTGGCACATTTGACGTATATGTAGGTTAGGATTTCTTGAGGCAGGAGAGGAGATAGGGAAGGCAGGAGGAGCCCAATTCATCCTACGATAGGAACTTGGGGTATGTCCAATAGGGGGGTTACAGTCATTGAATGATTCTGATTAGAGGTGAGACATGCTGCCACTTTCAGCTCACCCCAGTAAACAAGAAGGGTAGGAACTGAAGCAGAGAGACCAGGCAGAAGGTAATAGGGAACCAATAAGAAACAATGTGTGCTATAAAACTCTGACTAAGGCAAGGAGAGAGGCAGCCAATGGGAGAGACTTCAGGAGGAAGGACTAAGAAGAACTACTGCTTGAGCAGATGTGAGGACTGAAGAGGAATCTTGAATGACTCTCAACAACAGGGAAGGCAGATGTGATGAGAATGCTAGAGATGAAGCAGGTTTTGCAGGTGGTGATGATTAAGGTGGACATTAAGGTGATGTCCAGCAGACAGACAATTGTTGGTAATATAAGCTTGCTCAGGAGAAGGTGGTGAAGAAGATGCAATGACTGAGCTCCAGGAAGCCCCCACATTTCACAGAAAGGCTGAAGAGGAGAAGTCTGGGAAAGAAATGGAGAAAGAACAGGCAGTGGATGAGGAGACTGAGAGCAAAGATTTGTCATTGAAACAAAAGGACATATTTCAAAAGGAGAAATGTTTCTAGTGTTATACCATAGAGTCAAGCAATATGGGGTCCAAAAAGGTCTCATTAGGTTTGTCAGCAGGTGATGTTGATAACCTTAGTGAGAGAAATTTAGGTGGTGTGACTGGTGACCACTTTCAGTGGGTAACAAAGTAAAGCAGGGCAACGACACTTTAGAAATCTGATTGTAAAGATAAATTACTAGCTTTTGAAATAAAATTTTTAAAGCTATCTATAAATCCAAGGTGCCCAACAGGGAAATCTCTGAAATAGCTTGCAGTGATAAAGAACAGAATCCCAACAAGTAAGAAACTCTAGGGTAGACAATTTCAAAAATTAACCTGTATTAAATTCATAAAATAAACTATTATTATAAGCAATTTCATAAAGGAAAATAATATGGTAAGAAGTTTATATATTTATAAGTCTTAGCCACTAGTGTGCACTACTATAAGACTTATAATTTCTAGGAACTTATTTGTATATTAGATTCCCTCAGAATATATCATGTCTTTTCTCAGGCAAAACTTGTAATAAATGTATTTGTTGGTAGGTACTATATTTTATGGATATCTAGAAGCAAAATTCCCAAATTTCAAACTAGTAACTATTGTAGTATCAGATCTTATATGTTTTATATGTTGTTCTAAGATCGATAGGTTCACATAAATTTGCTTCCCTTAGCTCAAGAAAGTTAGACTTATATTTTGCATGGAACATTCACAATGTGAATCCTAAATTTTTATTAAACTCCCAAAAGCAATACTTTCTTTAGACCTGGAGCATGTATTAATTTTTTGGGCTGGAGTTACATGAAATCATTTTCTAAAAGTGATGACAGGGTATTGGAAGACAAACAGAGAAATCCCCTACTTGGAAGCTACTTAAATGAGAATGATTCCAACACCAGTCATCCTAATACCAATGATACCAATTAATACAGAGGTGGTCATAGGAGTCTCCATGTGGAAGGTTGTTTTTGAGCTAACACTTGAACAATGACCAGAATTTCGATGGAGGGAAAAAACTACCCAAGGGAAGGGAATAGCATAAGAAAAATGCTAGAGTCTGTGATGTTGAAAACTAGTTAAAAGAGAAATTTAAAGCACAGTGTTTATGAAGGATGTATTTAGGAAGAAAACTATCAGGAGATAAGGCTAGAAAGGATGATAAAGATCAGAGTTTTGAGAACAAGTTTAGGGCTTTGGGAGCTTAAGGAGCCAGAATGATGTAATTACATTCACAGTACATTAGGGTAGAAATCAACTTCTTAAAACTATTTTTTTGCGGGACCAGCAGATAGCGTAATGGCTGTGTTGCTGGACTCCCACGTAGCTGACCATAGTCCAAGTCCCGGACCAATTGCTTAAACCCACGCGGAACTCGTGTGTGTGTGTGTGCTCGAGATCCCGAGAGGAGAAAGGAAGAGAAGGGATTGTGGCATGGCCATCCCCCCTGGGGGCGATTTCTCACTTTCTGACTTTCTGTCTCTCTGTCTCTCTCTGTCTTTCTGGTGAGCACACGTGCCCTGTAGCAAAACCTAAAAAAAAAAAAAGAAAGAAAGAAAGAAAGAAAAAGAAAAGGAACCAACTATTTTTTGCAAGTCTCAGTCAAATTGTGCAGTAATATCTCACAACCTGGTGAAGTGGGAGCGAAAGGAAGAATCTGAATGGGTAGTTAAGTCCTAGTTACCAGAGGATGGAGAGATGGTAGAACAAAGGAACTACAATCTGTGTTGGGCTCAGTGGGCTAATGGAGGTCAGGAGAAGGTGCCACATAGCTGTAGTCATGTCACTTCAGGCTTTACGAGGCAGGTGTGCATCTTGGATTGGCTGGGGTGGTTGTGAAGGCAGATTTTCCCCTGAGCCCTGCCTGACTTCAACTAACTTCTCCACTTTCCCTAAATAGTCCTGGAGGAAGTAAATTTTACTGCCGGCATTCAGTACCTTTGACTGGAACTTGGCTCTTTCTCTGGTAGCAGAGATTTCTTTGTGTCGTATTGCTGACTGGTGGATTTTAGAGCATTTTCTGAGTCTTTCTTCATGCTTCTGTCTAAATGTATATATGAGTATAGATAAACCCTCTCTTGCATTATTTATTTTGGAGAGGTTTTTACTATAGGATGTGTGTGCTCACCAGAAAGACAGAGAGACAGAAAGCAAGAAATCACCCCCCCAGGGGGGATGGCCATGCCACAATCCCTTCTCCTCCATTCTCCTCTTAGGATCTTCAGCACAAACACAAACACGCCTGGGATGAGTTTAAGCCACCGGTTCTGGGACTTGAACTGCGGTCGACTACATGGGAGTCCAGTGACACAGCCATTATGCCAACTGCTGGTCCCACTCTCTTGTATTTTTATGGGGCCAGTGGAAACTGCTGAAAGGTTATGTGTAAGTTGAGGAAAGCCAGTAAATTGGATTTTGAGGTAGGTATTTATTTTATCTGCTTGGTTTTCCTTCTTCCCTTCTCTGGAAGTCTTGAGAGGGAAATGTTCATTTTTCTATTCCATGTAGACTACCACTCATGGTGCTTTGCTCTACTTAGCCTTAGGTGTGGGCACGTGACCAGTCTGGCAGGGCACCTTGTCCTCCAGGTCACAGTGATTAGACTATGGTATGGGCATGTGACTGAGCAAGAACAATTAGAGTTCTTCTCTGGGATTTTTTTGGATCTGTTGAGGTGATGCTTAGAAATTCCTGCAACTAAGATCTTTGTTTATACTGGAAGAAAAAGCAGAGATGAGAGGGAGAGAGCCTCCAGAGCTTCTCTTTAAATTTTTATGTCTGAGCGTGTTGGAAACTGCTCCCCTACTGACTTCTCTCTCTCCTACCCCTTTCTCTTTTGTTTGAGTTATTTTTATTTATGTTTTGGTCAACTTCAACTTAAAAATAATATAAAAACTATTTCTTGGCCACTTGCTTTATTGTTGGTTTTGCCTTCACAGCTTTCTTGGTCCCAGACAACCAGGGAGAGACTCTCTGAAGTGTTAAATTAAGTTTAGTCCAGGAGTAACCTTGCAAATATGAACCCTTTCCAACATCTTGTAGCTCCGTGTTTTTGATTCTGTGGAATCGTACATTCCTAAGACATCTCAAATGCTTGTTAACAACATGCACAGGCATCCTTGCTCTTTGGATTTAGTTTCACAACAAGGAAAATAGATTTAGCAGAGTATTTCTGAAAAACAGATAAAAATTGTGGTAATAACATACATTAAATACTAAAAAAAAAAAAGCAGTTCAGAAAAAGCATTCTTTCTAAGAGTATCATTAAAGTGCTTCATTATATAGTAAATGAGATGCAGTTTCACACTATGTCAATTTATGTTTAAGACAGAGATGGGTGAGGTGAGAAAGTATATCCCCCACCCCAAGAGGGATGGTCACACAGCAGTCCTTCTCCATTTCTCCTGCTTTGGGGACTTGGGGCACTCCTGCCCAGAATGTTTCTCAGGCTACCAGGTCTGAGACTTGAACCATGCAGTTGGCCATGTGGGATCCAGACACCTTAACACAGGTGACCCATTCAGAAATTCTTTTTTAAATTATTTATTTATTTATTATTAATTATTTATTTAACTTTTTATTAGCATTTTGTTTTTAATTTGACCAGGGAGAGACAGAGAGAAAGGAAAAGTGAGAAAGGTCCAGGACTCAAACTGGTCAGTCATGTAGAAGTCC